TAATTTTGGATAACGCGAGCGAAGACAGATTCCGACCACTCTTCACCGCGAACGAATAAAATGGGGCTTGAAAGTCCATTTTCCTTCACTATGGACTTTCGTGGATGTCATTCCAGGATGACTTTTTTGGACCTCATGTAGTCATTTTCCTCAATTTTGGTATAGTCGTCCTCACCCCACTAGTCGGTCGGTGGTCGAATTTGAATTCGAACTGGAGCAGGCCGGCCGCGGCAGAGCGCGGCAGATCGCCCCTCAGCCAACCGCTTGCACATGAGTTTTCCTCTTATTTTCTTCGCATTTCTTTGCTATCTCTCGTATTGTGGCAATGTTCTTAATCAGATTTCAGATTTCGTCCGCTAACTCTTTGAAACAAACGCTTTCTGAGAGAATTTCAGCCCCATCGCAAAAAAAAATAGTTTAGAGTACACACGGACAAAAAACTTGACACAGTTCATTAAATCACATTTGTGTGTATGTCACTTACCGGTCGAGAGATTTCTCATCCAAAAATCTCCAATCGCATCCTTCTTCTCGGTTTACCTGGAAAAAATGTAAAACAAACGGTCACGACTGCACAAAACAGTAGTTAGCGGTACGAAGTCTAATAATCTGATTAAAAACATTGTCGCAGTACGAGAGATAGCAAAGAAATACCAAGAAAATAAGAGGAAATCTTGGCTGAGGGGCGGTCTGCCGCGCTCTGCCGCGGCCGGCCTGCTCCAGTTCGAATTCAAATTCGACCACCGACCGACTAGTGGGGTGAGGACGACTATAGTTCTCAAAACTTACTTTCCTAATGGCCTGAGCTAAGCGTAGTGATTGGTAAAACTACTTCATTCTTGCACCCAAAGTGTACTCAGCTCAGCAGCCACAAGCAGCTAGAAGCAGCGCAGACATCGGCGATTCGCCAACCCGCTATACCTCTATTGTCAGGTATATCTTAAGTCAAAGTAAGATCTCCGCCGATGCCCAAGTCGCGACGCAAAATGTCGCTTTGGAAGCAGAAAGTTGTTTTGGAATAGCGAAGAGGCATGAGGACCTCAAGTCGGCACCGCTCCCTCCAGTAATGCTCGCGCATCCAGGCGCGCTTATCCAATCACCGTTTCGAAAAACCGGCCTGCGTACACGTACTTAAATTTACACATGGCTGCGCAAAGCGCGCCCCATGACCCAGTGCGAAATTGGCCGCCGCGCATGGTTTAAACTCCCGAAGTACGCTACCCATAGTCAGCTTCGATTTTTTGCACACAGTTCCTGCCGTTTAAGTGGTTTTTTGCATACTTTCATGTCTTGCCGTATTCTTTGCTTGTTGGCATACAGTTGATTGCAGTGAAATGCTAACAAGTGTGTACTTTGCATGCAGTGAAGGCGATGTGACCATCCGCTATGAAAGTATTGGTGCTTTTCCAAATCCATGGCGCAAATCGTAACGTGAATAAATTATACGGAAAGAATTCCAATGATGCTGGAGTAATTTGATTCGGATCGACTAATGCATGTTTTTTTTTCAAAGCTTTTGCTTCTATGAATTGATTCGTAGGCAAAAAACATTATGAAGTGTTAGTAGCTTGAATGTCCTCTTTTCTTTGAACCTCGGCATTACGATGATGTAGTTCTATTTGTTAGTTGTGCAAGCACGAGGCTTTCGGCGAAGCTTTATTAGTAGAGCGGCCTAACGTTTCGAGCAATCCTCGTCTTCAGAGGCCGTGGCTCTACCGCTATCGCACCGATGGTGGTGTGCGACCGCCTTCTCCGAATTAGTAGTGCAAATTCAATTTGATTTGCGATTGAATCAATTGAATCAATGGCTCTACCGCTATCGCATACCACCATCGGTGCGATAGCGGTAGAGCCACGGCCTCTGAAGACGAGGATTGCTCGAAACGTCAGGCCGCTCTACTAATAAAGCTTCGCCGAAACGTGTGCTGGCACAACTAACAAATAGAATTACGAAGTGTTCTATTAGTTCATTTTACCACAATGTCTTTTGTTTCTGACATGCGATCATACCTGAAACTGTGTTGAGGGCGAAAGGGCATCTCATATGAGTGAAATAAAACCATCAATGTATATCACCTGAACTCTGTCTTGGGCCTTAGGCACGTACTAAGATCGTTTTGTAATTTGGAGCGGCGCGCTTCGTCCACACAGGAGGGCTCTGCGTAATCCGCACCAAGGTTTGCTGTAAGTTGATCTCTGCTACATTCTGCTTCCAATTGAAAAGGGCTGCTCTCTTTTTCTGAAACATTTTGCAGGTGCTGTCTACGACGATACCGCCTATAATTTGAAAAAAGTGCAATTGTTACCAGAGTTTGTCACATTCGCGTGGCATCGTCATTACCTCCCGGTTCAAAATGGATGAATTCATAACCAGGGTCAAGCGTGGGGTGAGGCACGCAACACCTGGGGGGTCGTATTGAGGAGTCAAAAGGGGAGGGGGTCGTAGTTGGGTAATCCGATAATAGTGATAACATGATATTCGTATCATATCCATAATTAGCATGTCAATTAACCCCTATAGACAAAGTGTGAGCGAATTCTGGAGATTCAAGATACTAGGCTACCTAAATGAAATGGTCAAATTCCAACATGGTTAACTTTGTTTCAAAGGTGAATTAGCTATCCGTTTTCACACTCAAGACAAAGCACTACTCCTTCTTTGTCCACCTCAGGAATTCCGCCTCAGAAGACCTGCAAAATGTATAATTAGAAGTCAACCAAAATCTCGTTTTTCCCGTTTTTCGCTTTTGATCGCTGTGCTTTCATCAAATATTACTTAGAGCTAAGAAGACAAATCAGGCTCCAAACAGTCCTATGGAATCTACAAGGTTTAGGCTATCGATTTTTATAAATACTGTCTAAAAATGTTTTTTTGATATAGTTAATGGGGTGCGGTACACTCCCTTAAAGGCACCGTCCACCCAAAAAGGAGGTTGGCGAGATTATGATGACATACTAGTGTGGGCCCCCACACTAGGCGAACCCCCGAGCTTCGCCGCAAAAGACTGCTTCTGGAGCGAGAAATCCGCTCCGGAAGTTGCAAAGTGGGCGGGGCGATCAGGGTCGCCCCGCCCACTAGCATGCTTTATCTCGCCTGCGCTTGTTGCAGAGGGTTCTCGAATCAGGAATTTCTGGTGGTTTTGCGCATTTTCGACTCCAAATTCGGAATCAGGGCTTTCAGAAGGCCTGAAGGCGACAAAAACATTGAATTCGAGATTTTGGGTGGACGGTGCCTTTAGAAGCTGCGGCTGCCGCAGCTTTTAATGGGATGTGCCGCACCCCCTTAAAGGCACCGTCCACCCAAAGTGAGGGTTCACGAGATTCAATGGCATGCTAATGTGGGCCCCACACTAGGCCAACCCCCAAGTTTCCCCGCAAAAGATTGTTTCCGGAGCGAGAAATCCGCTCTGGAAGTTACGTGATACGTGATCCAGAGGTGGTCACTCCGCCCATTTTGCAGCTTTGGGGGCTGCGGCGCTGATATACGCCGGGCGATAACCGCGCCGCAGCCCTGCAAACTGCACTTCCACCCGTCCCGCTTTCTCCAAAATAGGGGTTTTTGGGATTCTCGACTTCATATTCGAAATTCATTCATTCATTCATTAGATACGCTCTAGGCGTTCCAAAACATTGACAAAAATGTGTCAGTAATACATGAAACACAACAATAATGAGCATTTCACCACATCTTTCAAGCCCAGACTAAGCTTATGAGAGAAAAGATTGTGTAGAAGCAGCTTGCGTAAACGCGTATAGATAACAATGCTTGCACTTGCGTGAACTCTATGGGGAAACACTCTGGAGAAGTACCCATGCCCCCTCGTTTGCCAGCAAGGAACGATCTTATTTTGATTTCGTAATAGCAAACCGGAAGTTCGGCTGGCGGGTATACTGGCAGCCCCGCCCAACACAGTTTGCCGGGGAGGGTACAAAGCTCCAAGGAAATTTATACATTGTAAATCGGACAAGCATCAGTCTATGTTGGTAAGCTGTACCAAACTAGTGCTTGGTAGTAGGTAGGCTGGGCTCTAAACTATGCGGTAAAAATCTGGGTTAGTAGAAGAACAAATCTAGCAAAGTAGATATAAACTAAGATTGCCGGACGCATGCGCTGATGGGAAGTCAGAAAAGCACGTGAAATCAGGGCCTTCAGAAGGCCCGGAAGCGACAAAAACATGGAAGTCGAGAATTTGGGTGGACGGTGCCTTTAACTTGCCTTCAAAATCCAGAAAGCGCTCCATTGCTGGTATGAGTATTGAGCACATAGCTTCTTCTTGCTACATTGGAAATTTGGAGCCGAACGCCCCCACCCATAAGAAAATTATGGCCCTTTCAATATGCCCATTCAGATCAAAATCAGCCGTCAAATTACGTGTGATTGTAAAGTGCAGTTACAGAAAATGGGGGGACAGCTCTCAGAAATCTGAAAACTCTCCAGAAAAAGATGGTGTCCTCCAGAATGTCACACTTTGAGGTCCAGAGGTTAAGAAGAAGAAGAAGGGGTCGTTTGGGGTGGGGGAACGAAAGCCGCCAGGTCCAGCCGCCTCCGCGGACTGCTGGTCCTGGAACGACATGCAACAACGCTGCGAAAGGACCAGCTGGCCGCGAAAGGCGGCTGGACCTGGCGGCTTTCGTTCCCCCACCCGGTCGTTTGAGGGCTTTCATGGGAGGGGGAGGGGGTTTCGAAAGACTTGTGCCTGAACTCTTTTTCAACTCTGGTATGCTATCTTAGGTATATAGTTCAGGGGGGGGGGGTCTTATTAAGACAGCAAACAGGGGGGGGGGGGTCGTAACCAGCGATCGTGTGCCACACCCCTTGCTTGACCCTGTTTATAACGCAAGGGCACTTCTCAATTCAAATTAACACCCATGGTTGAAAATACGGTGTTAGTGTTTTGGATAGTGCACGATGGCATTCAAGATGGCAGTTTTAACAATTCGTCTCAGACTTTTTTCTCTGCACTCATGACTATGCACTCAAAACTCAAGAGAACAAAAAATCAAATTTTATCACCTTCGTTCGAAACCTTTTCCGTCTCTCCATGGCTGTGCTCAAGTGGACTAAGATTAGTATTTCCACTTTCCGCGGTTTCGGCTATGTCAGCTGCATCTCCGATAAAGCTTGGCGTTTCCAAAGTGGAGGCGTCTTCACTAACATGTGTTATTATGTCTGGAACGCTAACTTCTGCTTCACTCCAGATTCCAGAGTTGGTTATAGACACTTCCAATCCGGTGTTTTCGTGAGGAGTTATCATAACGTCGTTCATTCCGTCTACCACGTCCACAGACTGGTCTGCTTCTACAGAAGGCGCATTCGGCAGCATTGGCCCAGTAATAGCAGTTTCTGTGAAAGTTCTGTCAAATAATTTTCCACTGTCTGACAATGACTGCTCTTCAGGTGAAACTTCCTCAATTGTGGCAACCTTCAAAATACATGTGGCTGACTGCAATTATCTGTGGTAGATTGCAAACCTTTGCTTGCTCAAAGTAATATATCAGTTTGTCAAGAAGCTGGTCGGCATCATCCAAGGAGTTTTCATCACCGCCAACCGTCACTGTCTGACGTGACAACATCGCCAGGGTTTCCACTGTGTCCAAGGTTCTACGTGATGGATGAGGCTCCGCATCTAAACAGAAGTCGACATACAGAATAAAACGGTAAATAAGCACACCAATATTTTGCTTTCCCAATTTCGCATCATCCACATCCGATTGGTGCAGAGTAAAAGAGCTTGCTGAACTACGAGTCTTCTGAAATAATTTATTCAAAGATGACATAAACGGACAAGCCCGCCTACAAATGATCCCAAAAGCTTGGATTTTCAACTTGAAAAACATTTGATTACCATAAAACTTCAAAAACATAGGGCTTGCTGTGCATTGGTCAAACGCTTTTATATAGCTCTTTCAAATCAATGATAAGCATGCAACAGAATTCAATGCGCAACAACAATAAACTGAAGGAAATTTACTTCAACACCAAAAAAAATAATAAAATTTTCCAACAAGGTTTATACCATAGCTGATACGCAAAAACCATATCATTTTCCAGTTGCAAAAATACGTAAACTGAAATGAATTCGAGCTTTCAAAAAGCAGACTTATTCACGTTTTATGGTAATCGATTCCAAATGATAGAATTTCAGATTTTCATAGTACAGGACTTGAGTGTGAATGGATGTTTGATAATTTCATAACTTCTACCTCTTCTTCATCAAAATAAGAAAGTGACTCTTCGCAAACGGTAGACTGCGAGGCAGTGCGTATAATTCCTACATCAGTACTATCCTAAAAAATGTACTTGCAAAAAGGAAAAGCTGAAAATTTTAGAAAAGTTTGAAGAATGTTTTATCACTTCGGACAATGAGCTTTGTTGATCCGCTGCAGATTCCGACACCAAAATGTTGTTCCCTTCGTCTGCTGTCGCAGGCTCCTCCAACTGACCCAGATCTAAGGGTTCTACCCCAGCCCGACGAGAAGTTGAGTGTAGCACTAATACTAGGAACTATTTTGGGAAAGAGACAAGAATCATATCTGCAGACCTTTTTCTTCTGAAAAAAACTCATCCAGTTGATTAATTAGCTTCGCTCTTTCAGAAACTACGCGGTTATACTGAATGATTTGGGCTCTTATCGACTTTGTACTAAAGCAACTAAATAAATGACTATCCTGGCACTATTGATCGAGAATAAGTTACATTTGCTCGATATCCCTTGTTTTCCCTTCAAAACCTTTGATCAGAATTTCAGCCTGTTCGCGGCGAATGTCCAAATTTCGGCGCAGAGATCGTACACTGAGATTCCAAAGGTCGCATTCAACTGAAACTCAAGAAATAGGTATTTTGAGAAACAACAGCAGCCTCTTTGTCTCACCAGTCTCGTTTAATGCTCTTGTATCCATTCTCACAGGCGACAGTTCATTCTCGTTAGCGGTGGTAGGAATCGCAATGTTTTCTGGACGAGAACTATCGTCCTCTCTAAACCTTCATTTTCTCGCTGAATTCTCGTAACGAATTATCAGCAACCAGGTTATGAAAAAAAAACATATAATTGAGTCCCAGCCAGGTTCACATAGAGGCGGAGCATTACGAACATCTTATAACGTTGATAGACTTCAGACGTTCACGTCAAGATTACTTTTCAATCTTTATCAAAGTCACACCTTAGCTGCCATGTCCCCGCCCCTATCTGACTTTGAGAATTTTGTGATATGTAGATCACAAATAAAATTCGTCAGATTCTTTGAAATCATTTAAATGCGACCTATAACAGTTGCAGTTATACTTTTCAATAAAAGCTCGTCTTTGGATCTGCGCAGTAGCCTGTGTCGAGAGAAGGCGTTTGATCCTGTTGCTGCATTCTTCGCTTTCATCGTAAACTTTCTTCTGTTGTCTTTCAAGGATTTGCAGAAATTCATGCTTAAATTAAAGGCAGTGTCAAGGCAAATCTGGGCACGTGAGGTTTTCGCTTAGAAACTTATGAGGAGGCCTTAACAAGGCACTGCCTAAGAGGCAGTGCTAAAGATTCATTCACGGTTGAGAAATCCGTAGCCAAACCCTCCTCGTCTGCGCCGTGACCGTAACAGTTAACGCGCGAACATAACTTCCTTTGCATTATGATCGGATATTCTGTCAAGTCGTTGACCGCACGGAGCGGCAGTAGATTGTGGAGGACGCGTCGCGCGGCCGAACGCACGTACCAGTACGAATCTCTGATGAATGCCGTGCTCCCGTGACATTTCAGCCGCGCCTCGGCTGCTCCGCAATCTACGGCAACCCGACGCTATTCCAGTATCTGGGCACCAAAATTTTTTGTCGTGGATTTGCCTGAAACTTGGCCTAGGGATGTTATTCGGCTCCCTGATGCCAAATATCACGTTGCTTTTGTACGATAGCGTCATTTCCTGAGGTTACGGTGGGTGTACGGTAGGGAGTCAAAGTCATGGATTTGGCTGAAATTTACTCTAGGGGGATTATTCGACATGCTGATCACCAATGTCGTTCTCATTCCGCTTGAAGCCTTTGCGTGGTATTCCGTGATCTACATTGGCTCGAAAGGCGGAAAAATCTCTAATTCATGGGCTGCAAATTACCGTAACTCCACTATAAGGCGTTATTGCAACGAGCGAGCATGATATTCGTAAATAGCATGCTCAAAAGCCCTTCTAAGCAAAGATTTAAGCAAATTCGAAACTTCGACTTATCTATGGTATACGTTCCGACTCAAGTAAATGGCGTTTTTGAAAAAATTAGCACGATATGAATGTTCAGATGGCTCAATAACCTCCCTAGGCGAAGTTTGTAGCAAAATTCATGATTTGCTCCCATACCGTGCACCTACCGTAACTCCATGAAAAAGCCACAGAATGCAGAAAAAGTGTGATATTTGTGATCAGCATGTTGAATAATCCCCCAGAGTAAATTTCAGCCAAATCCATGACTTTGACCCCCTACCGTACACCCACCGTAACCTCAGAAAATGACGCTACGTACAAAAGCAACGTGATATTCGGCATCAGGGAGCAGAATAACACCCCTAGGCCAAGTTTCAGGCAAATCCACGACAAAAAATTTTGGTGCCCAGATACTGGAATAGCGTCGGGTTGCCGTAGATTGCGGAGCAGCCGAGGCGCGGCTGAAATGTCACGGGAGCACGACATTCATCAGCGATTCGTATTGGTACGTGCGTTCGGCCGCGCGACGCGTCCTCCACAATCTACTGCCGCTCCATGCGGTCAACGACTTGACAGAATATCCGATCATAATGCAAAGGAAGTATGTTCGTTCGTATTCAAACCCAAAGTTGGGAGAATTTAAAAAATAAAAGTGAATGAATAAAATTTATCATCTCAAGTACCTGCCCCAATCCAGCTCAGGCTAAAATTGGCATGAGGGAGTCCGCGTCGCGAGGGTACTGCTCGCGTCTACGAGCTAGATGTCTCGTCGATCTCTTCGCTCTCTGCGGCAGCACGCGTATGCAGCGCAACCCCTAACGTTGCGAGCGCGCAAATTCAGCCGGCATTTCGGCCTGATCTCGATTGGGGCAGACCGTAACGTTAGTATTTCAAAGGAGCAAAATTTGTTATACCAATTAAAACATCTGCGCGTAATTCCCTCTTTAGAAAAACATTGATGATCGTCTAAGTCTAGAGGAAAAAGCCAATGCAAGAGCGTATCATGCACTGATTGAAGACAGTTTGCGATGGTAAGCATAGTCGTTTTAGCCATACGTGGAAGACCTCAGTGTGGCCCGACCGCTTCGCAAGAGCCAGGCGGAGCGTCTGCGAACACAAGACGAGTATTTTTGTCGGTAAAAAATCGAAATGAAGAAACGGCATAAGTTCCACCACGATGTGTACATCTGGCGATATTTGGTGAACCGTTGCGAAGCGGCCATGCATCCCGGTCTTGCTTTACCGTCTGTCTCATGGAGTGGGTCCTGCGCGACCACTTCGCTTGGGCTATGCACCGCATAGGAATGTGCTTTCTCATAATTTTTCCACACCTGATTAGCGACTGAAGCTCATCCCTGTCTTTCCTATGCGTGGAAAATGTTTAGCCGACAAGTTTGCAAACGCGGTGGAGAGCCCGAGCGATGCGGTCGAGCGGGATATGAGCCACTAAAATCTCACTCCAAATGAGACAGAGGCTCTTGGCTAAATCTAGCGCACACTAAGAGCATCTTAATAGATTGTTCAGCGTACTGATCGAGCTGCGAAGTCGAGATAATAAACGGTTTGCCAGTAATATGGGATTTCTACCTCACTTCGAAGGTTTCAAAAAAGTGGCATTCAAAAATTCCGTCTGTGAAATAATACGAAGAAAAGTAAGTGCGAAAAATCTGGAAATCTATTTGCTCACTACTCAGCGTACTGCTTGCAGCTGCAGCGCAAGCAAAATTTCAAAGAATGAGTCGAAAGTTTCCAGAAGAAGTTACAATACTTGCTAAGAAGGACCTTGATGCTTTGAGCCAGTTTCTGGGCAATAAGCAGTATTTCTTTGGGGATCAACCAGTGACGGTAAGACATCAATTAAAGGCTAGTCCCAGACAGAAGGGAAGGTCCATGAAAGCGGAGCGGGTGCGTGCATATGAGCCGCGTTCGCACCCGCTTCGCAAGCCAACCATTTAGTCAGGCCTCGCCTCTTTCAGGCCAGCTTGCAACAGATCAATTTCAGCTTGACTGCGAGATCTTTGCACACTTGGCGCAGTTTCTATATACACCTCCCGCTTCACCAGAACGTGTTAACCTCGGGCACTTCCGTTGAAATCTCAGGAGAATCGTGTCAAAAAGTGCAAAAGGCAGCGTCACCACGTACGCACGCTGGTTCACCTTCTCTGGAGCGCAGACGGTATGTTCTTTACATTTGATAGATAACTAACCTCAGTGGCGAACGCCGCCTACAACTTGCATTCATACATCTGAAAATCGGAACGACTTATGCGATGTAACCGATAATTATAACCATATACCTTGCGTAAGAGTAAAGCTTCTGTTTTTTTTTCTTGTTCATTCTTCCTTTGATATTCTCTATTTTCCTACGACTGCCGCAGTGTCGGCACTCGCCAACACTGCGGCAGTCATTCGGAGGAGGAAGCGAGTTCTAAAAATGAGAAGCGTTACTTGTAGTACCTACTAGGGTCAATAGACCTTCCAGCAGATGCAAGGACCGGGAGTACGATTAGCAGAAATTAACAGAAATTTTTCGCGCACCGTGTTCCTGGTCGCAACGAAATCAGCAGTGCAAGAACCAGTATTTTTGGTGCGATATTGCTTGTGGCAGGTCATGTCGTTTTATGGCCCTTCCCCCTCCCCCCTCCCCCTCCTCGCCCAGTCCTGCCACGTTAGCGATGCATATTTTTGTAAAGCGCACAATTTGAGCGTGGTGTATGCGGCAACACGGCTGCCGTGCGGGTTTGAATCCTGACGTGGAGTCACCGCTGATTGCTTTGAGCGAGAACATGGAAACCCTAATATTAAAGCAGAGTGCGAGAAACCGCATGACAAGGACCTACTTGGGAGAGTTTGGTAGAGGAGAAGACGAACAACTTTGGACATTCGTCCATGAAAGGATTTCAACCTCCTCTGCTCCTCTCAAAAAAAATTTCTAGTCCCGCCACTACAAAGGATTGAATAAGACACAATTTCTTTTCATTCGCTGTTTCTTTCTCATTACTGTTTTCAACAGTATGTCAATCAAGTATAGCAGACGTCATCCGTCTAGTCACCTCGGTGTGATGTGTGTTACTGCACACAAATTTAAAATCTCGGATAAGGCGATGGGGTCCCGCCGTGCCGTGCTTACACGCCAAGCTGCCTGCTTTTTATATTTGATGTTTTTTTTTAGTTCTTAGCTTTATGGTCTAGTTTTCGATGTTATCACCTTTATACGTCATGCATGACGTTTTAGATCGAATATCTCAGAATTCATCACTTTCACTTCAGGAAGGGAGCCGAAGGGCAACCTTGCAGAATTTTGAAGTCTGCGTTTTTTAGTTCCGTCATATGTATAACTAGCTGGCATACCCGGCTCCGCCGTATGTTCCGAATAGAAAGATTCCATTTCTCAACCGATCCGAACCAAACTTGGCACACATACACTACGGGCCCCGGCGGGTGTCACAGGCTACTTTTCGTCATCGATCGATATCGATTTTATCGATTTTTTGCAAAATTTGAGCTAGGGGGCTGGGATTTGGCACAGGGGGGTAATTGAGCATGCTGATTACGAATACTGATTACGAATACAATATTAGTTTTCAAAACCGTGCATTACTTTAATCGATTTTATCGATTTTTTTGCAAAATTTGAGCTGAGGCCTGGAATTTGGCAGGGGGGTGTAATCGAGCATGCGGATCACCCCCACGGGGGTGATCAGCATGCTCGATTACCCCCCTGTGCC